GTACCCTGCCTTTGAAGCACCTCCTCAGTATGTTTTGCCAACTTATGAAATGGCCGTGAAAATGCCTGAAAAAGAACCACCACCTCCTTACTTACATGCCTGAAGAAATTCTGCCTTTGACAATAAATCCTATGCCAGCTTTTTGTCTTGTTTATTTTACAGAATGCTGCAATTCAGGGCTCTTCAGACTCATTTTATATAAAATATGTTGTCTTTTGTTTAAGCATTTATTTCAAACACTAAGGAGCTTTTTGGACTATTAAACATCTTTTTTTTTTTGTTAAGTCTTTTACATTTTAATAGTTTTTGAAGACAATCTAGATTAAGAGCAAAGTGCCATTGTTTGCCTTTAATTGGGGGGTGGGAAGGGAAAGGGGCTGCTCGCCACATATTTTCCTTTTTAACTGCACTTTCTTTATATAATAGTTTGCATTTTGTTATTTGCTACCCTGGGTACTTTCAGGAAGAGTGACTTAAATATTCAGGGTGACAAAGTAGTTGGGTATGAGGTCTGAATTTTCAATCTACGAAAACAAGAACATTATTTGACATTTTGACTTGACTGTGGAAGGTGATGGTTGCATGTTTCTAGTTTGCATATGTTTCCATCTTTGTGGTAAGATGCTTTAATAAATTTCTTTAAATACTTAAAAATAAATAAATAAATAAATAAATAAAAATATATTTATTATACAGTATATTTATATATTTATTTATATACAAAAAATTTATAATTATATATTATAAATATATATTTATAATATTTATTATATATAATATATATAATTAAATATGTATATTTAAATATATATAACATATAATGTATACAATTATATTATATATATTTTAATATAATTTTATATACAATATATATACATATCTATACATATTTTTTATCCAGGGGCAGGATCTTGTCCAGCAGCTCCCCGTCCCGCATCAGCTCTGTCACCAGGTACACGTGTTGCGCTTATGAACTTAATACACTCATATAGAGACATATATATACATATATATGTGTATCTATATACAATTTATATATTCATATACCCAGTATATACATAAATTTATATAATTTATAAAAAAATAATAAATGTGTAGGTTTGACGAAGCGATTCGAGCAGTCGTCTGCCCACCTCCCGTGAAGAAGAGGAAGAGGGAATGCCTGCTGCTGTAAATGTCTGAGCCCCTTGTTCTTGGCCCTGTCCCTTGGAACCTTTGTACGCTTTGCTCAAAAAATGGTGGAGCCTTTGCACTCAATGCCAACTTTTTGTTAAAGATTAATTTTTCCATAAAACCATTTTGAACCAATCAGTAATTTTAAGGTTTTGTTTGTTCTAAATGTAAGTGTTCAGACTCACATTCTGTTAAAGTTTAGCCCTAAAATGAAGGAAAAAAAAAAAAAAAGCTCCTCTCCCCTCCCCGGGAAGGTTTTGGTCCTCCTCCCTGCGGCTTTTCCCTACTCTTCGCCTTTACGGTTGCTTGCTGCCTTCTCTGAAGCCCTCCAGTACGTATTGTGTCTAGCTTGGAGCAGCATTTAATTATCTATTCATCTTATGGCCACAAGTTAGTCCATGTAGTACAGCAGCTTTCAACCCTAGCAGCTCACCACAGTCATCTGAGAAGTTTAAAAAGCTAAAGAAAAAATGCCTGGATCCCAGCCCAGATCAAAGAAGCTCTGACCAGGAAGCAGGGCCACCCGTTCATCTGCAGTTCAATGGCGGAAACCACTGTGGTGTCCATGTGGGTGTGCAGGGCGTTGGAGGAGCGGCGGAGCCAGCAGGGACCCCCATGAAGCCGCAGTGGGGAGCTGAAAGCCCAGGACTGGTCACCAAGGAAAACCACCCACCTATCACCCTCTCCGTATGCTACCTGCACCAGAAGAGCTTTGCTGGGCCCAGGCTTCCCTGCCCTCGCCTTCCTCTCTGCCAGCACGTGGCCTTACCTGGGGAGCCCCACCAGGCCCTCCCTACACCTTCTGGTCTGGAGGCGCCGACTCTGGCAGGGGATAAAGGGTGGGGCAACGAGAATGGAGGTGCCCGGGGCCCCTGCCCACTTCTATTTTCCTAACCTTTTCTCTGTAAAGGGTCAGGCCCGTCAGCAACACTGATGGGAATAACAGTATTACTGCTTTGTGGAAAAAAAAATTATATATAATTATATATACATAATTGTATATATATACAATTATGTATATATAATTATATATAATTATATATACACAATGTTTTTTTTCTATAAAGACAACGAAGTATCCATCACTGGCAGAGTAATGGATATGCATGTGTGGCAAAAAGTATCTAAAATAATTTGCCACTTCACACAGCGGCAACTGAGGCAGCCAGCAGCTCAGGCACATTTATTCTTGGTCTTATTTATTATTGTGTGTCATTTAAATGAGTGTGTTTGTCTGCGTTGGTGATCGAGAGACTGTGGCTGTTGGCACTTGAAACCAAGGGTTCGTAGACTCAGGGCCCAGCACTAAAGCAGTGGGCACCAGGAGTCCCTGGTAATAAGTACTGTGTACAGAATTCTGCTACCTCACTGGGGTCCCGGGGCCTCATCCGAGGCAGGGTCAGAAGGGGCAGGGGAACAGCCACTCCTGTCTTCCAGCCAGCAGCCAGCTCTCAGCCAATGAGCAATTTATTGTTTTTCCTCGTATTTAAATATTACGTATGTTAGCAAAGAGTTAAAAATATATATATATATAAATATTGTATATATAAATTATATATACATAATTATATATATCAATATTTTTATACATAATTATATATATAATTATGTATATAAGTAATATATATACATAATTATATATATTTATAAAAATATATATATATATTTCTTGCTATAGAAATGTTTTATTAGGTCAAACTACTTACTATGAAAATGCTTTAAAATGCAGCAGGAGGAGATGTAAAGACTCAAAGAAGTGTGTAGAGACAATGGCTATCAGACCACGCTAAAGAATCCACACTGCTTCCCCCTTTACCTAGAAAAGGAAGCTTCTAGGCTACCTCCCCCTCCTCGGCACACTCCTCAAACTTCTCCTCCTCAGCTGTGGCATCATGATATTGCTGGTATTCTGACACCCGGTCATTAAGGTTGCTCTCGGCCTCGGTGAACTCCATCTCATCCATGCCCTCGCCCGTGTACCAGTGCAGGAAGGCCTTGCGCCTGAACGTAGCTGTAAACTGTTCAGAGATGCGTTTGAAGAGCTCTTGGATCGCTGTGTTGTTACCAATGAAGGTGGCCGACATTTTTAGCCCCCGGGGTGGGATGTCACAGACAGCTGTTTTCACGTTATGAGGGAGCCACTCAGCAAAGTAGCTGCTGTTCTTATTCTGAATGTTGAACATTTGCTCATCCACCTCCCTCATGGACATGCGACCTCTAAAAACGGGAGCCACGGTTAGGTAGCGGCCATGACGGGGGTCACAGGAGGCCATCATATTCTTAGCTTCAAAGAGTTGCTGAGTGAGCTCAGCCACGGTCAGGGCCCGGTACGGCTGGCTGCCCCGACTGGTCAGCGGGGCAAAGCCGGGCATGAAGAAGTGCAGCCGGGGAAATGGAACCATGTTCACAGCCAGCTTCTGCAGGTCGGCATTCAGCTGGCCCGGGAAGCGCAGGCAAGTGGTGACCCCACTCATGGTGGCAGACACCAGGCGATTCAGGTCACCGTAAGCCTGCGCTTACGGTGATTCAGGTCCCGGGACTCGCGGGCCAGCTGTCGGGGACGGAGGCGCCCGGTCCGCCCTGACGAGCTCGCCACTGGCTTTGCTCCGGCGGCGACGGCGACAGTGGCCCGGGCCGACTCTCCCGGGGACCCCACCTCCTCCAGAGCCAGCTTTGGCAGGGGACCGTGCCTCCCCACCGAGGTACCTCGCTAGTGTGCGCCCCTGGCCCGGGCCCGGCAGGTGGGCGAGGACGGCTGGAGCTGTCGGGGATCTGCAGGAGAGCGCGGAGAAGATTCTGGCTGTATTGGAGATTGGTTGCTTTCTAAAACCGAAGGAGAAGCTGATGAAGAGATGGTGGATTCGCATTGAATTTTGACTGGTGGAATAAAAGAGAGAGTTCAAGTGGATGGTGTTGAGGGCTTGAAAAGCTGAGATACGATGATTTTGAAGTAATTTCACATTTGAAGCCATGATATAACTATCAGCGTTAAGATTTCAACAAGAAAAACTTAAGCTTCGTTGGATTCCTACGTCAAAGAAAAGTTTCAAGCTTTCAGAAAGAGTTGTCACTGGAAGATCAAGAACAGCTCCCTAACCACAAAAGAGGAATCGATGCTAAGCTTTCAGCTGCATTTCTGAAAGTTGCAGAATTAAGACAAATCTTTGAACCAAAGAAAAAAGAATTCTTAGAAGTGAAAAGAAAAGAAAGGATTGCCAGGCACCTGGAAGGAATTGAAAATGACACCCAGCCCATCCTCTTGCAGAGCTGCACAGGGTTAGTGACTCACCGCCTGCTGGAGGAAGACACTCAGCTGGTAGGGTCGCTGGCTCGATACATGCGAGCCAGCCACCCTACCAGCCCCCACATCGGCCGACCAAATGAAGAGGAGGAAACTTCTGATTCTCCTCTACAAAAGCAAACTCGATCTAAATACTGCGCAGAAACCTCCGGCGTCCACGGTGACTCACCCTATGGTTCTGGTACCATGGACACCCACAGTCTGGAGTCCAAAGCGGAAAGAATCACAAGGTACAAAGCAGAAAGAAGACGACAGTTGGCTAAGAAATATGGGCTGACTCTGGATCCCGAGGCCGACTCCGAGTATTTATCCCGCGATCCCAAGTCCAGGAAGGAGCCTGACGCTGTCGAGAAGTGGGGAGGAAAAAGTGACAAACAGGAGGAGTCAAGCAGGGATGAGTTCTCCACACCCCGGGACAGAGACGATGGGGCTCAGGACCTGTGCAGGTGAATCCAAGGACTATGCCCTCCGCGGGGGTGATAGCTCTTCTGACCAGGAGGTGCTGCTGAACATAGAAAACCAAAGACAAGATCAAGAGCTAAATGCCACCCGGCAGGACTACGACCTGCCCCCAGCTGCCGGGAGTTCCTTGACCTTCTCTTTCTCTGGGCGAGAATCCTCCTTCACGGAAGTGCCACAGTCTCCAAAGCACGCGCACAGCTCGTCCCTGCAGCAGGCGGCCTCCTGGAGCCCCTCCTTTGGTGACCCACAGCTACCCCCTGAGGCCAGACCCAGGTGCACTTCACAGTCAGAAACGCCAACTACTGATGATGAAGAAAAAGTAGATGAACAAGCCAAGCTGAGCGTCGCCGCCAAGAGGCTGCTTTTCAGGGAGATGGAAAAATCTTTTGATGAACAAAATGTTCCAAAGCGACGCTCAAGAAACACAGCTGTGGAGCAGAGGCTCCGCCGTCTGCAGGACAGATCCCTCACGCAGCCCATCACCACCGAGGAGGTAGTCATCGCGGCCACATTACAGGCCTCTGCTCACCAAAAGGCTTTAGCCAAAGACCAGTCAAATGAGGGCAAAGAGCTGGCTGAGCAAGGAGAACCTGATTCCTCCACTCTAAGCTTAGCCGAGAAGTTGGCCTTGTTTAACANCGAGAGACTGTGGCTGTTGGCACTTGAAACCAAGGGTTCGTAGACTCAGGGCCCAGCACTAAAGCAGTGGGCACCAGGAGTCCCTGGTAATAAGTACTGTGTACAGAATTCTGCTACCTCACTGGGGTCCCGGGGCCTCATCCGAGGCAGGGTCAGAAGGGGCAGGGGAACAGCCACTCCTGTCTTCCAGCCAGCAGCCAGCTCTCAGCCAATGAGCAATTTATTGTTTTTCCTCGTATTTAAATATTACGTATGTTAGCAAAGAGTTAAAAATATATATATATATAAATATTGTATATATAAATTATATATACATAATTATATATATCAATATTTTTATACATAATTATATATATAATTATGTATATAAGTAATATATATACATAATTATATATATTTATAAAAATATATATATATATTTCTTGCTATAGAAATGTTTTATTAGGTCAAACTACTTACTATGAAAATGCTTTAAAATGCAGCAGGAGGAGATGTAAAGACTCAAAGAAGTGTGTAGAGACAATGGCTATCAGACCACGCTAAAGAATCCACACTGCTTCCCCCTTTACCTAGAAAAGGAAGCTTCTAGGCTACCTCCCCCTCCTCGGCACACTCCTCAAACTTCTCCTCCTCAGCTGTGGCATCATGATATTGCTGGTATTCTGACACCCGGTCATTAAGGTTGCTCTCGGCCTCGGTGAACTCCATCTCATCCATGCCCTCGCCCGTGTACCAGTGCAGGAAGGCCTTGCGCCTGAACGTAGCTGTAAACTGTTCAGAGATGCGTTTGAAGAGCTCTTGGATCGCTGTGTTGTTACCAATGAAGGTGGCCGACATTTTTAGCCCCCGGGGTGGGATGTCACAGACAGCTGTTTTCACGTTATGAGGGAGCCACTCAGCAAAGTAGCTGCTGTTCTTATTCTGAATGTTGAACATTTGCTCATCCACCTCCCTCATGGACATGCGACCTCTAAAAACGGCAGCCACGGTTAGGTAGCGGCCATGACGGGGGTCACAGGAGGCCATCATATTCTTAGCTTCAAAGAGTTGCTGAGTGAGCTCAGCCACGGTCAGGGCCCGGTACGGCTGGCTGCCCCGACTGGTCAGCGGGGCAAAGCCGGGCATGAAGAAGTGCAGCCGGGGAAATGGAACCATGTTCACAGCCAGCTTCTGCAGGTCGGCATTCAGCTGGCCCGGGAAGCGCAGGCAAGTGGTGACCCCACTCATGGTGGCAGACACCAGGCGATTCAGGTCACCGTAAGCCTGCGCTTACGGTGATTCAGGTCCCGGGACTCGCGGGCCAGCTGTCGGGGACGGAGGCGCCCGGTCCGCCCTGACGAGCTCGCCACTGGCTTTGCTCCGGCGGCGACGGCGACAGTGGCCCGGGCCGACTCTCCCGGGGACCCCACCTCCTCCAGAGCCAGCTTTGGCAGGGGACCGTGCCTCCCCACCGAGGTACCTCGCTAGTGTGCGCCCCTGGCCCGGGCCCGGCAGGTGGGCGAGGACGGCTGGAGCTGTCGGGGATCTGCAGGAGAGCGCGGAGAAGATTCTGGCTGTATTGGAGATTGGTTGCTTTCTAAAACCGAAGGAGAAGCTGATGAAGAGATGGTGGATTCGCATTGAATTTTGACTGGTGGAATAAAAGAGAGAGTTCAAGTGGATGGTGTTGAGGGCTTGAAAAGCTGAGATACGATGATTTTGAAGTAATTTCACATTTGAAGCCATGATATAACTAACAGCGTTAAGATTTCAACAAGAAAAACTTAAGCTTCGTTGGATTCCCACGTCAAAGAAAAGTTTCAAGCTTTCAGAAAGAGTTGTCACTGGAAGATCAAGAACAGCTCCCTAACCACAAAAGAGGAATCGATGCTAAGCTTTCAGCTGCATTTCTGAAAGTTGCAGAATTAAGACAAATCTTTGAACCAAAGAAAAAAGAATTCTTAGAAGTGAAAAGAAAAGAAAGGATTGCCAGGCACCTGGAAGGAATTGAAAATGACACCCAGCCCATCCTCTTGCAGAGCTGCACAGGGTTAGTGACTCACCGCCTGCTGGAGGAAGACACTCAGCTGGTAGGGTCGCTGGCTCGATACATGCGAGCCAGCCACCCTACCAGCCCCCACATCGGCCGACCAAATGAAGAGGAGGAAACTTCTGATTCTCCTCTACAAAAGCAAACTCGATCTAAATACTGCGCAGAAACCTCCGGCGTCCACGGTGACTCACCCTATGGTTCTGGTACCATGGACACCCACAGTCTGGAGTCCAAAGCGGAAAGAATCACAAGGTACAAAGCAGAAAGAAGACGACAGTTGGCTAAGAAATATGGGCTGACTCTGGATCCCGAGGCCGACTCCGAGTATTTATCCCGCGATCCCAAGTCCAGGAAGGAGCCTGACGCTGTCGAGAAGTGGGGAGGAAAAAGTGACAAACAGGAGGAGTCAAGCAGGGATGAGTTCTCCACACCCCGGGACAGAGACGATGGGGCTCAGGACCTGTGCAGGTGAATCCAAGGACTATGCCCTCCGCGGGGGTGATAGCTCTTCTGACCAGGAGGTGCTGCTGAACATAGAAAACCAAAGACAAGATCAAGAGCTAAATGCCACCCGGCAGGACTACGACCTGCCCCCAGCTGCCGGGAGTTCCTTGACCTTCTCTTTCTCTGGGCGAGAATCCTCCTTCACGGAAGTGCCACAGTCTCCAAAGCACGCGCACAGCTCGTCCCTGCAGCAGGCGGCCTCCTGGAGCCCCTCCTTTGGTGACCCACAGCTACCCCCTGAGGCCAGACCCAGGTGCACTTCACAGTCAGAAACGCCAACTACTGATGATGAAGAAAAAGTAGATGAACAAGCCAAGCTGAGCGTCGCCGCCAAGAGGCTGCTTTTCAGGGAGATGGAAAAATCTTTTGATGAACAAAATGTTCCAAAGCGACGCTCAAGAAACACAGCTGTGGAGCAGAGGCTCCGCCGTCTGCAGGACAGATCCCTCACGCAGCCCATCACCACCGAGGAGGTAGTCATCGCGGCCACATTACAGGCCTCTGCTCACCAAAAGGCTTTAGCCAAAGACCAGTCAAATGAGGGCAAAGAGCTGGCTGAGCAAGGAGAACCTGATTCCTCCACTCTAAGCTTAGCCGAGAAGTTGGCCTTGTTTAACAAATTGTCCCAGCCAGTCTCAAAGGCGATTTCCACCTGGAACAGAATAGATATGAGACAGCGGAGAATGAACTCTCGATATCAAACTCAGCCAGTCACGCTGGGAGAGGTGGCGCAGGTGCAGAGTGGAAAGCTTATTCCTTTCTCGCCTGCTGTGAACACATCGGTGTCTACAGTAGCATCCACGGTTGCCCCAATGTATGCCGGGGATCTTCGCACGAAGCCACCTCTTGATGACAATGCAAGTGCCACTGACTGTAAGTTTTCTTCTTAAATGGAAAATTCAGACTCTCCAGTTAGAAGCATTCTAAAATCGCCCGCTTGGCAGCCCTTGGTAGAAAGTAGCGGGAACAAGGGAACGTTGAGAGAATATGGAGAGACGGAAAGCAAGAGAGCTTTGACAGGTCGAGACAGCGGGATGGAGAAGTATGGGTCCTTTGAGGTAGAAGCATCCTACCCCATCCTGAACAGACCCAGGGAAGGAGACAGCCATAAGGAACCTAAATACATCCCCAGGAAAGGAAGCCTGGAACGGGTGAATCCTCCCATCACTCACCTTGGGGATGAACCAAAGGAATTTTCCGTGGCTAAAACAAGTGCGCAAGGAAACTTGGGCTTGAGAGACAGGCCGCCCTTTGAAGAGAAGGTGGAGGTGGAGAATGTTATGAAAAGGAAGTTTTCACTAAGAGCGGCAGAGTTCGGGGAGCCGGCTTCCGAGCAGACGGGGGCAGCTGCTGGGAAAACGGTGGCCCAACCTGCAGCCCTCGCGTCCTGAAAGCCCCAGGATTCTCCGGAACAGCCACAGGAGAGGATCTGCAGGAATCCATGTGCGATGTTTGCTGCTGGAGATATCAAGACGCCGACGGGGGAGGGCCTCTCCGACTCACCCAGCAAAACCATGTCTATTAAAGAAAGATTGGCACTGTTGAAGAAGAGCCGGGAGGAAGACTGGAGAAACAGACTCAGCAGGAGGCAGAAGGGCGGGAAGGCGCCGGCCAGCAGCCTGCACACCCAGGAAGCGGGGCGGTCCCTCATCAAGAAGCGGGTCACAGAAAGTCGAGAGAGCCAAATGACGATTGAGGAGCGGAAGCAGCTCATCACTGTGAGGGAGGAGGCCTGGAAGACGAGAGGCAGAGGAGCGGCCAATGACTCCACCCAGTTCACCGTGGCTGGCAGGATGGTGAAGAAAGGTTTGGCGTCACCCACTGTCATAACCCCAGTGGCCTCACCCATTTGCAGTAAAACAAGAGGCACCACACCCGTTTCCAAACCCCTGGAAGATGTCGAAGCCAGACCAGATATGCAGTTAGAATCAGACCTGAAGTTGGACAGGCTGGAAACCTTTCTAAGGAGGCTGAATAACAAAGTTGGTGGGGTGCAAGAAACGGTGCTCACCGTCACCGGCAAATCTGTGAAGGAGGTGATGAAGCCGGATGATGACGAAACCTTTGCCAAATTTTACCGCAGCGTGGATTATAATGTGCCGAGAAGCCCTGTGGAGCTGGACAAGGACTTCGATGTCATTTTCGATCCCTATGCACCCAAATTGACGTCTTCTGTGGCCGAGCACAAGCAGGCAGTCAGGCCCAAGCAGATATATCCTAGATACTTCGATGGGCCAGTGTGATGACTTTTTTTTAAATGAGGTTGAGTTCCATGTTTATTTACTGGGACATAATGCATTTATAAACATTTTAACATTCTGTTAAATGGATTAGCAATATTTATAATTTTACAGGCAGGACAGCATTTGATTTTTAATTTATTTAAAAGGAGGCACTACTTATGTAAATCTGAGCTGTGGGATATTTCTTGCTTTAAGAGAGAGACAGAATCTCTCACTGAAACTCATGGTCATGATTTTGTATGATATAGCTCATAGTGTGTGTGAGTTTGTTGCAGTTACAAATGGGCATTTAGCATAGTATATTGACTATAACATACAAGTAAATAGCTTTCTACTGACCCTAAGTTATCAAGGTGAAAAAACAATTCAGTAATTGAAATGTGGTGAAAAGCTACAGCTGTCTCCATCAAAACAACTTATAACGCACTTAAAAATGTTCAGGTAGCAGTGAGCATTGTTCATAGGAGAATGGCGTCTGGGTGATCTCTTTGCTGAATAAATGAGTTGTTAACATGTGGACCCAAAATAAATAAATAAATAAATAAATAAATTATTATATAATATATTTATTTATTTATATATAAATGTACAATATAAATGTTTTTTTAATATTATATATTTAAATATTATATAAATATTTAATATATTATATATTAATATATATAACATATTAATATATAATATAGAATTAATATGTATAATATATTAATATATAATTTTCAGAA